ATTCTCTAAATCAAAGCCAACGTTTCATCCTGTTACCAGTATAGAAAAAGAAAAAGAAGGGAAAGAGAGAAAGCTTGTCAAGTCAGTAGTCTTTTTCGGGTGGTGTTGCCAGTTGTGACATTTAACAAGTATCTACAAAACATTTTTTCATCACGCACTCCTCCCCCTCGTCCCCCTGTTCCCAACCATTTTTGATTAAGTCCTCCATTAAAACAGGGCTGAGCCATTGTCACTAGAGGGGGCTGGGAGGGAGGCGGGGGGAGGGGGGGAGAGAGAAACAAGTCCTGTTAGCGAGCTCGGTGGCGCCCCCCTCTGGAAGGGCCAGGCCCCAGCACTTCAAACAGGTTGCATAGACAGACACACTCGGCCGCCTCAGCCTCCAGCCGTCGCTATGGAGACCAGCCATAATGGGAGGGGGCGGTGGTGGGTGGTGAGGGTGGGGGGGGGGGAGACGGCCTTGGCTTTCCTGAATATCAGAAATGGTCCGCGTATGTAGATGTTTGTTCTGTTTTTTTTTGTCTGTTTTCTTTAAATCTTAATACAAGTTCCTGTAAATGGGCTTCATGGCTCCACAGCAGAAGAAGAAAGAGGTGACGCCTAATGTCAAGATGAAGATGAATGAAGAGGAGGGGCCTGGGGAGGAAGAGCAGACACGAGAATTAGTCATGGCATTGAATTTATCAGTATGACAGGTCAACATGTCGATACACCGTAAGATTTCTACCTCTACTGGCATCACGTCGTATGGATTTAATTGTAACCACACCCATCACCAGTCACCCATAAACATTATCTGTTAAAAACATCCTTGTTCAACCAATCTGCTAACCCTGACACGAGGGAACAATAAGTTTGGAAATTGCTGCAGCCAGCATCAGTGAAACAGGCTGTTGTGGAGCCACTCGGGGCGCATTCACCGTCAATTTACGTTCATTAAATGTGCTTGTTTTTGCCACTGACAGGCTCAGATCGGTAATGTAAGTGTCTTACGGTATTACAGAAAGGACCCTACAGACGACTGAAATGTTTTTCCATACCTTCCGCTTGTTTTGTGTCCAAGTTTGATGAAAGGAGAGAAAACTCTTGGACTGTTCCGCATCGTCCATATCAGCTAAATATTCAGCCTATTACAAATATTACTTGCACTCCTCTCTCCAGCTCACTAACGTTTCCACCATTTTCTTGCTGCAACAAGTCACCTGTTTTAAAATTTCAGAACAACACTTCTCCGTTAGCGAGACTTGAACACAAAGCAGACTGCAACAAGTGAAAGGTAGGGACGTTTAGTGTCTCTAGAGGGTCTGTGCGTGTGTTACGAACATGACATCTCCTTTAGCAAGGCTTGGGACACAAAATACATTGGAACAAGCAAAAGATACCACAAAACAGGTTGGGGGGGTTTATGAATCTTGTAAGACACTCATATTCAGAACGTGTCAGTGGTAAAGACAAGCACTTTAAATGTAACATACCCAGAGTGGTTGCATCGTAGCCTCTTCTGCACACTCTCTAAATGCTGGACCGATTTAAAAAATTGTTGTTCCCATGAGTCACTTACGCCACTTTTACACAGCCTGTTCAAGGTGGGAATGTCGCACCATTATTCTTGCAGTTCTTTCTTAAAGCTACACTTGCAGAATTGTGGAGGTAGTAGCAGCACCCAATCAACATCTGTGTTAAGGGTCAGCTGGCAGGACGGGGCAGGTGCGACAATTTGACGGCTTGTTCCGTGCGCAACCCCACCACAAGAAGATTTGAAAGCAGGTAGTAGCAGTTAGCAGCTAGCTGGCAGACGAACTGCAGCTTTAAGTGTTTGCAAAATGGGAAGATGATGACGTCCAGGAGCTCCTTAACCTCCAAGAAGGGGACGAAATCAGCTGCCATATAACAGGTGCTAAATGATTGTTACTGCCATGTTAATGCCACTGTTGTATGTCACACTAGAGGCAGACACTTGTGTTACAAGTCGCGCCAACTTTTGCTTCCAGGGTGCCAGCATGCCATCTAAAATCACACACTTGGGTGGCTAAATTATGGGACTTCACAGCTGCCGTATCACACAACCTCTGTGTAAAAAGGGCTACTCTATCAATCACTAGCTTCTGTATTTAAATTTCAGATGAACTGATTCACTTAAATGTTTAGTTTGAAACAGGCGCTTTAAATGTCTCTCCCTCCGTCAGGTGACTTACTAAAGTGAACTGGTCGTAGACCTGCATTAGGTCCTCCATCCTGTGCTGCTCCAGAACCACGAAGGTGTCCAGCGTGGCGCTGCCTTTCCTGGCACAGTCCTGGCAGTGGACCATGTACTGCTTCTTGGACAGGAGCTCGCGGCGCACAAACAGCAGGTTGAACACCTCCACCTGCAGAGGACACACACACAAACACTCACATGAGAGGGGGTGCAGACTGAATGGCTCCAATGTCATTTCTATTACATTGCAACTCGGAGCTTTATTTATGAATCTGAATGAAGCTGAGCGATGGCAGACTGCAGTAATGATGTCATTCAGAGACAAATCCCGGAGCTGCTCCACAGACGGTGAATAATGGAGCAATTTCGAGGGCACAATGACAGCAGACATTTAATTGGATATGGACACATTTCTGCTAAACAGCCGAAAGTGCTGCATTCAAATAAAACCCATTAGCAGAGCTGTTAATTAGCTCAAACAAAAACTGAGTCTGCCTTTAATTCAGAGTCAAAGGAACAGCTGATCACAAGTCAGTGACAGCAGAACTGCAGAATATCTACTATACCCTTCCCTCCATGTGTGCATCTGTAAAGTGTAATGTCTTATGGATCACATAGACATACACATATGCACTGAGATGCAACCATTCAGTTTTATTCCCTCATATTTTTCAGACTGATTCAACTCAGACCAGCAGAGGTACACTCAGGACATTTGGTTCCAATCCAACATGTACGGTACAGCGTGTCGTTCCAAATGTGAGCGCTTAAGAACACGACGAAACAATGATTTTATACTTGAAATAAGTGTGAGCTGCTTTTCCGCAAATGTGAAATCCTGTTAGAATTCACACCCCTGACGCTGAAATGTTCCCCGTGTGCTCACTGACCTCGCAGATGGTGCAGTAGTGGGCCGGCTCGTCCCTGGTCCTCGGCCTCAGCACCGTTTCCTTGCCGGCCGTCGCCAAGGCTTCCTTTACCCACTGGCACTGCTTCAAAGTCCGCAGCAAGCAATACCTGGGACAAAAATACATTGTGTTACATTAAAAAAAAAAACAGAGAATCCAACTTCTGCAAACAAACTTCTGGGAGATCCTGCAACTCACTTGATCATCTCAAACAGCTTGTGGTCGGACACTTTGATGTTGCGTGCCATGTTCCAGGAGAGGTGCACCATGGGAACCATGGACTTGACGCTCTGGAGCTTATTCCACTCGTAGCGCTCCACGGCCAGCTTGTACTGGTGGGCTGAGAAATAAGTGGGAAACATACTGAACGTTACTTGACATGAACTTTAGACACTAGGAGATGTTTATGTGCAATAAAAAACGTCATCACAAAGACAGACGCATCAAAAAACAGACTTAGGGAAGCGGTGACGTGGATAGCATAAATAAGTGCACCGGTTAGATTGACAATAACCTCCTGCAGTAATCAGCTCAGTGATCAGCTAAAAAGGTCAGTAATCAGCAGAAGAGCATTTCAAACATCACATTAAAGGTCATCATATCAGATATACTTCGTGTAAGACAAGCGATCGCAACAATTAATGCACATATAACCAACCCCTGTGAATTCTGTGAGAAGTCTTGCTCTATCACCGCAACAAATTTGACCAATTCCCATGAATTTCACCAATCACAGCAGTCCCCCGCTCAATGCCACCAAATTACTTCCTTGTTTCTGGTAAGGCTATTACATGAAGGCTATGAAGGGGTACGACACAAGCGTAACGTAACTGCAGCTGCGATGTTGGAGGGTTACAGTGGATGGCGCTAAACATAAAGGGATGGTGTCTGCTCTCTGGGTGTTTTAGCTTCTTTGGGTATGCTCGACCTGGCGGAAGTATTTGGGTACCCTCGAATGTACAGTGGAGCATTTTATTAGGAACTTTTCAATAAATAGGTCTGCGGCAATCCCAAAAAAGCCCACAAAATCCTGGAGAGACAGAGTACTACATGTCATACTTGACAAAGCCAAGTGGTCAAAGACAAACAAAGCCAAGGATTTTAAAAAATGTGGGGGAATATTACAAGTACAATAGACCATCCTGTAGCCGCTTGAGTACCATTAACGTCAACCCATATCCCCTAATCCCCTGCGTACCTGTGAGAGGTCCGACATTCCAGGCGATGTTATTGCACCAGCCGATGGCCTGGACCCAGTGCACGGTGCCGGTGTTGAGCCACACCAGGTCGCCCGGTCGCTGAATGAACCGATAGACGGGTACGTCAGCCTCATACAGGTCCTCCAGGTTGGGCCACCACGAGCCCATCAGGAAGTTGATGTTGTTCCTGGAGGCGCGGAAGAGAACGACAGTTATGATACATACATGAGCCGAGGGGCGACGGTGCGATTCACATCTGTACACCTTGGTTTGATCTGTCTTACTTTTCACAGAAGTTGCTCATCACTCCCCAGTAGGGCTCCGGCACTGCGAACCATTCACAGTCTCCTGGTCCGATGTTGATGTTGACTGCACAGAAGTTATTGTGTTCCTGGTGACCTGGAGACACACACACACACACCTCGTCACTGCACAAATCCACGCAGAAAAGCTGAAGGTGTGTCACAGAGAGTAAGCGTGGGTGTGTGTGAACCTGCTATCCTGCTCCCAGGGACCTTCATGTAGAGCTGCACTGTGTTCATGCCCAAGATGGTGTGACCCACGTGGCTCAGCAGGTTGCCGGCGGACACGACCCGAGCGAAGGCCGGCAGTTTGCTGAGCTCCTGGAGCTGCTGCTTCCACCTGAAAGAGAGTGGGTATGGCGCTTGTATGTTGATATGCTCTGAGCGTTTGAAGGCATCTAAAAGGCAACAACGAGATCATACTCACTTCCTTTCATCCGACACATCGATGTTGGTTCCAAACTTGATGTGCTTTAAGGGTCCCCTTCTTTTCCGTGCAACGCTGAAGACACACACAAAAGCATTTCTTAAAACATAAATCAATTCAAAACCATGCTCAGAGCCTGGAGCTTTCTAATCTGCCTAAATAATCAAACTAAATCTAAAGAACATTACCTCTCTGCTGATGCTGGCTCTGTGTCCGAGGGCTCCTTTAGTGCCTTCTTCTCATTCTCCTCCTGGAAACAAACAGGAAGTGCATTAAGCCAGCAGTATGCCAACAGTAAATTTTTTTTTGTATCCTTAGATGCCCTAAGTGGACAGACATGAAGCTTATCTCACCCTCAGGGACTCCTGGAAGGAAGCAGCCTGATATTGGGCGTATTTGGCGATGGTGGTGTGGGCGCGGGCGCTCTCGCAGCGCCACATTTTCTTGGTGCCGGTCGGGTCCCAGTTCTCGTCGGCGGGCTGAGAGAGCTGCGTCCAGACCTCCACCAGGTGCTCTGGGTTGGCCTCGACCAACGTCTTTGTAGAGAACAGACCCAAGTCTGCAGAGAAGCGGGCAAAAAAGTTAGATGTCTCTGTGATTTGAAGGAAAAACACACATATAATACACACTGACAACAATGCACTTACCCAGTTTGAGTGCTCCAGCCAGTCCTCTGATGACAGTGACAGGGTTGGAGGGGTTTGTGCAGAACTGGTGCAGTGGGGGGAAGAAAGCGTCCCTCTTGTTCTCCAGCTGGTCAGGACAGGAAACAGGAAGTTAAAGGGGGACAGGAGGTGTTTAGGGCGAGACAGCAGGTCAACAGAAGCTGAAGAATAATTTGGGATGCAGATCAGCTAAATTTAAGCACTTCTTGCCACTCAGGAATTGATTTAAATAAAATACCTCAGAAACACCACATTACTACACCAAGACCCTGAGGAACACCACAGACAACTCCATGATGTGATTAGGTAACAAAACATTTGGAGATTTTGGTAGGAGCTGCATTTTTCGGCGATTAGATGGCAAGCACTTCTACTCTGAAAACTGCTGAGAAACCTCTTTATTGTAGGTAGTTTCATATGATACCAGCATCTTGCTTTAAAACCCACTCAGCCTGCGACAGCCTCTGACAGACAGTAACGTCGGCCGAGGACGGCAGCGGCCCCGGGGAGTGGAGGAGGAGGTTAGAGTAGCTTGCAGCCTTGTGGGTGGGTGATACTCACATAGATGCTAGGAGTGGGAGGGTTGAGCTTGTCTTTGGGCAGGGCTGGTGAGGGCGGAGGGGGCAGCCGGGGCGGGGGGCACTTATCGAGGAGGATGCTGCTGTTGGAGAGACCGTTCCTCCCCAGGTTTCTGCACACACACACGATGCAGAGAGTGTTTACAGTGATGGCACAGATGAAACAGATCATAAATCAGGCAAGTGAGAGACAAATAAAACACTAGGAAACAATGCTGTCCTACCTCAGAGCTCAGATACACTCCCTCTTAGCAGTCCATTTAACTGTCATGTTTTATCAATCACACCTCAAATACAGGAAAAGTAATTTCCATAGAAATTAAAATAGACGAAGCAACCAAATGGAGGTATCTGTGCTAAATAATATCTGCATGGCAACAAGACTGCCCAGTAGCCTTCGGTGTTGTTTACAGTTACATAATTATTTGCCTTTGGTTCTGTAGTTCCTCTGAAACTCCACTGGGAGGAGACATTTTCAAAACAAACCACCAGCTCAGCCGAACCAACTCATGTTTGCACCATTTTATACACAGCTAAAGCCTTAAAACTCTGATAGATTCATCGTGTAAACTCATGTGACCTCACCAATCTCAACCTCGGGTCTGTAACATTTTGGAAAACATGGAAGAAGTACATCACACTGAAGCAGCCACCCATTTACACTCATCAAAACCATTTTTGTACCTTGCACTCATTTCTAAACCCCTGCTTTAGTGTGCAAAAACAGAGTTTAACACATGCTGTAAAGCTAATGCAGGTCTTGTGTACTTAAAGCTCTGTCATGGCGTGACTGTCTGTTATCGTGCTTTTGTCAACGCCATCATTTCCTTGCCAGGAGCATCATTCCTGCCAAAGGAGGAATGAAACAGGGCCGGCAGGATACTGTCTGAGTGCATCCGCAGGACACTGTGGTGTGACAAAAACAATGAGGGCTCTCAGTCTCACCTGCAGGCCTTTAGCACGTCTGTGGAGCTGGGGTAGATGGATACTGAAGATGATGATGAAGAGGAGCTGTGTCCGTGTGGAGGCGTAGCTTTGAGACTGGTGACGGTGGGCGGCTCAGCCTTCAGCGGGCTTTGAGAGTCCTCGGAGATGCCTCCTTTGCTGTTCCCGTTCACGGCAGGTGCAGCAGGTGCGGCGGTGGCGGGACTGTGGGCGCCTGTTTGGGTGTGTTCTGAGGATTTGGGTGAGGGCGTGGCGGTGGATATGGCAGAGATGGGCGAGGAGGCAGCCGAGCTGCCCTGCGCGTGGGGGGTGGAGGGCAGGACGGCCGGGTGGATGTTGTTGACTTTCTTGTGGGGCTCGGACGTGGCGGGTGCTGTGGATGCAGTCCCTTGTGACGGTCCCTCGCCCTCCTCTGGGCCCTTCCCCCCTGCCAGCAGGGCAGATAGACTAGGATTGTCTGTGCTAAGGCTCGGCTTCTCGCCGCCTTCTGCCACCTTGCCGTCCCCCGAGTGTACGTGATTGGCTAGGCCATCTGTCGACGCCACTTTGCCATCAGCTGACGGCTGCGGCGATGGCGTCTTGCCCTCAGAGCCCCCGTTGCCGAGGGATGCGGCTGCCGTGATGAGGGCGGCTGCGGTGTTGCTATCTTTGGTAGCGGACGCACCAGGTGCTGCTCCACCTGAGGTAGAGGAGTGGGGGAGGGAGGGAGGAGATGGGAGGTGGTTGTGAGCCTGCTGTCGTGGTGATGGGGCGTTAGTGGAATGTCCAACCTGATTGTTGGGGTGCACAGGGGCGATGGAGTTGGGGGTCTGGGGGTGAGAGAGGGTCCCCTCACTACTGGAGCCCGTCGCATGTGGAACACACCCCGTCTGAAGCCCCTGAAGGAAGAAGAGCACAACTGTTATATAGTGAAAGCAGTTTCCACGGCATTTTGACAGCTGATGATCCTTGTGTGGACTGAAACGCTGCAACTGAGCAGCAACATCCCAGGTTGAAAAATTAAGTCAATGCAGAAGTGCCACAAACTGCAGCTCCTCTAATGGCCACTTGAGGTCGTTATTTTTTGGAAAGTACTTTTTGTGTTCATGGTTTTAAGCTTTTTTTTTAGCATTGACATTTTCACACTTTACCATAGCTGTAAATGCCTCATGCTAACCAAGCTAGCAGCTAGCGTTAGGCTTATCTCCACCTTTTGTCCAAATATGTCCACTTCTGGCTCCAAAAATCTGCCAATGGGCGACATCACGGTGGCTACATCCATTAATTTATTCAGTCTGTGGTTGTGAGCCCTACCAGAGACCACTGATAAGCCCAAATGTCCCACTTCAGATTCATTTTCTGTATCTGTGTCACATGGTACATGTTACGTCATATCTTGGCTCAGTATCAAACATTGGGGATGTACGTCAGAATTCCTGCATACTTTAATTTATCGCAGTCTCGTGGGAGGGATTTCACAGCTTGATTCATGAAACCAGTTGACGGATTTTCTCTTTTGACAGTGATTTACAACAGAGCCAAGTAGGTCAGTGGGATAAAACAGAATTATATCCATTTCTTAACTGAGCAAACTTGCCAGAGGGACGTGTGGATGCTCTGTCACAGGAAGTGAAAGAAAAGACGAATAGTGATGTCAAACCTGAGAGGAGTTTAGGTGCAGGGCCTGGCGCGGCGTGGCGTCCTGTGTTTGCGTGCTTGTGCAGGTGTGAGGTAGCAGTGCTGCGTCGCCGCTGCCGGCAGGTTGCAGGTAAGGCACGTCTCCGTTGGGTCCTGTGGCCGTGGGCCCTGACTGATTATTACTACTGTTACTACTGTCACCCACAGGGAGAGAGTCTGAGTGTCCGTGTGTCCCGGGGCCCACGGGCCCGTTGGCCAGCGGCTGAGGCGGACACAGGGGTCGGTGGGGTCCCAGGTGGGGCCGCGTGGGGTGGAGGCTGGGGTTCGGGGAGGGGAGGGAGTTGGTGGTGGGGCCGTTGGGAAGAGATGGGCGCACCTGACCTCCTGAGGCATTCTGTCTCATCTGTAACAAGACAAGATGGCAGCCATAAACATTTGAAAATATCTTATGCCATCGGGAGAACCAGATGGGTGAGCTCCACCATCAAAAACAACATTCAGAGTAAGAAAAAACAACTGAAATTCACACTCTTACCTGTCAATGGTTAAACTTTCTTGCTCTAGCTTGTTCTGTCTACGTGCCAAACCACAACAGTTAACGCCTACGCATGCCACAAACACACACACTGACTCACGTTCGTCAGACCTGAAAACTCTCGCAGTGTTTACACACTCTGGATTAATGAGTTTATTTATTCTACAAATTAGGGTTTAAGCCTTCAACCACCCAGCACCATCTTTAATGGAATGTGGACTGTGGAAATGTAATGCAGTGGCACACGCAATGCTTGACAGACGAGAGAATTGTGCATTTTTTGATGGTGGAGAGTACGCAGCCCGTTTTGACTCACATCCACTGTCACACATTCAAGGTTCCTACCTGGTGCTGGTGCTGCTGCATCATGGCGAACTGAGCCTCCAGCTGCCCCAGCATCTGGAGCTGCGGCGGCTTCAGGCTGGCCCGGTTACTCCGCAACTGTTCCAGCACCTGGAGACGAGACAACCAAACCCAGAGCTCACACACGAGTCGAGATCATACATGAAGACGAATACAAAATGAGGGATGTTACGTACCTGTAATTTCTGTGGGGAGAGGTACCAGTTGGGAACTGGCTGCTGTGGTGGGTTACTGACCCAAGAATCACCCTGAAAGACACACAATACACAATTGTATAACGCCGACTATAAGATGAAAGCAGCAGTCAAATGACGTAGACACTGTGGTGTTTACCTTGCCCGGGCTGGATGCTCTCCTCCTCTTTGCTGGGCAGGACTGGTCCTCTGCTTGGCCCAGCGGGCCCACGTGAGGGGGCAGAGACTGACCCGAGCCCCCGCCCTCTGCACTGTGATTGGGCTTACAAGCCTGGAGATGGAGGAGGGGGATTGCGGGAGCGCAGGCAGAGGGAAGCAAAAGAAATGTAAGGAGGAAAAGAACGTAAATAGACGGACATGACAAAAAGGTTGTGGGAGGAAAAAGAGTGAATCAAAGGGGGAAAAATAAAACGGAGGGAGCGTGTAAAAAGTTTATTTATCAAGCAGCAAAAGGGAGAAAGCAGTACAGCAAGAGGGAAGGGCAAAGCAAGGGATGGAGGATAAGGACAGAGAGACAAGGAGAGAAGCACTGTGATTTTTGTGTTGGCGCTTCGACAAACAAGCAGGACATGTAGAGCAAAAACATTCCTGTGTATCTGAAGGTGTTACTTCATAGGGCAAGGACAGCCCCGGGGCAGCTGGGAGTTCATCACTAAAGCTTCGTGTCAACACCTGCAGCCCTCAAAGTCTTCAGTTAATTTTTCACAGCGATCCTTGCTGCACTTTGAGACAATTTAAGGCCGCTGCAGCTGTTCAAGGGCACAGTAGCAGAACTCGACCTTTAAAGCAAAAGGTTGCATCGCGTTCTGCAAAACGAGCCGTGTGTGACTGCCCGGGAATTTAGCTTGAGGAAACTTCATGGTTGCTTTTAACCATGAGTAGCATTAGCTTGCTTTGACTAATATCCCCATTCACACTGACATCAGTCTCACAAGTCAATAAATCAACAAATCAGTAACACAACAGTGATCACACACAAACATGGACACAACAGAGCTACTCGCATCTACTGTATGATGGGCATGAATGAGTGAAGTGGTAATGGAACACTAGGGGGCGTTGCTGGGGCTTTTGTGTGCAGCTGCAGGACATCTAAGGTCAACTACTGAAAGGGGAGGAAGATGGACGGAGCCAATGGGAAGCTGGGAGGGGGATACTCTACGGCAGCACGACCTCACCAATCACACTGGGGAAAGGGGGCGGGGTGGGAAGCCAAAAATGAGTGTGAGAATTATCCTAAAACACAGCCACTTGACTTCGAATTACTTTAATCTCTCCCACTCTGAACCAAAGCAGATTAAGAGCAAACAGCAGCGTGGTGCAGGTTCAACACCTCAAACTGGATTTGTTAAAGAACTGCAGGGGGGGCGGGGTTAATCCTGAATACCACATTAGATTAAAAACAGGATTAATAGAAGGAGAAATTGAATGGGAAAGAATTGACAAAAAAAGCACAAATGCTTTGTTGAGTTGTTTTTTGGGTTTACGTGAGCTGAGCGTGATGGGTGAAGCCGAGTGACTACGGTGCTGTGGAGGAGAAAGGGGGTGCAAGGGTGGGTAACACTTGGCTGGACCCCTCCTTGGTCAGGACAGATGCCATAAAGCAGCCTGGACATGTTGGATTAGAAGTGTGGTGAATAAATTCAAGGTCTCCGATGTGAGTAAAGGAAGTGTGTTTTCGTGCATGCTGTCGGGCGTCTTTAGACACAGTGTGGAAGGTGGAGTTAAGCTCAAGTGTTACCCATCAGTATGGACAACATGCGCATGTGCTGACCTGCAGGTATGTCTGTGTGTACGTTACGTGTCTGAGTGTGCACTCAAAGGTAGGGGAAGGGGAGGGAAGGAGGGAGGGGAGGTGGAGGTGTAAGTTGCTCTATCTGGTCTCTCACCTGCTGTGGTGCACTGCTCAGGCCTCCCTGCCTGGAGGTTAGCTCAGCTGGGATTGGTAGACTCCATGCCTCCTCAATAAGAGGGAGCATTTTACTTTTACCCTGTAGGCTACTGAGCTGGGGGTTACTCAACTGAGCCTAGGGGAATGGAAAACGACGTGAAAAAACAAAAAAAATAATAAAACACAAGGCTTTTTTTTTTGGAATTAAAAAAATAAATAAAAAAACGATGACCTCAAAACAAGGAAATGATCAGCAATGGTAAATAGGTAGAGGTTATAACACAAGTGAAGCTACGTTGATATGCAAACTTGTGTCTCGGCTGGCGAATATACCTACGTCATGTACAGCATCAACCACAACAAGGAGGCACTTGAATGACATTCAGTAACAGTAATCCCAGACACAGTCACAGTTCCATTAAAACAAGCGTCTGGGCTTGTCTTAATGCCATGAGTATATGCTAACATGGTGGAAATGTAACATTCCTTCATGCATATGTAAAGGAGAATGACAAATATTGATGGGTAAATTAACACATGAGATATGGGGATTGTTCGAACCCCGGTTCGGCTCTCAGTAGTTTCACCATGAATTAGTCTATCTCAAATAATCCTTAACAAAAAGGAAAATTACTCCGTCCCTAATATGACACTGCACAGGACACGCAACAAAAAACTTGGGCTCAAAAAAGGTGCCAGTTACCTATCAGCCAGGTATGAGTTAAAGGGATAGTTCAGATTTTTTAAAGTGGGGCTGTATGAGGTGCTTATTCATAGTCAGTGTGTAACAAACACAAGACGTCTGTCCGCACGTCCCCAGAGTTTGGAGAAGCAGGCTGAAGTACTGACACAAAAGCTGAGCAATGTACTGCTGTGGATGGGGGCCAGCTTTTAGCCAGCGAAAAATAATACCTACCGAAAGAAATGAGTGTACGCTATATTGAGAATATTTTTGCTGCTTTACATCGCTGTCAGACAGCCTGTTTTGACAGGAAAGCCTATCTATGATGTAAATCCACCAGACTCCATTGAGGAAAACAGAAGCTTAAGCTCACTTAAAGCGACACTTACCTTTCTGGAAATTTTAAGCTTTTCTTTGTTTAGGTTAAAATGCTATTAATAAGCTGATGGCACACTAAAACATAAGTGAATTCCACCAGAGATACAAACTCATAATTCTAGCATTCTCATGTGGTTCTGAGAAAACTCCGACCAATCGTTGCATTCGGACCAAATGCAATGATTGGCCGAGTGTCCGAGTGTCCGAGTGTGTGTCTTCCCCACGTGGAGGCCTCCGACTGACCTAACCGCTCACGTAGCATTCCCTCATTAACGTTATCTTCCTTGTGCGTTTCCACTTACTCGTCACGCTAACGCTACTCTCTAACGTTAGCACTGTAACCTTATTGTAAAACTCATCAGTCATCACTGACTCCGGTTGAGTTTTAAAACTCTGGGGTTGCGTTTGACTGTCTTGGTTGTAACATTACACTTGCTCTCCTCTTCTGTGTATCTAACGTTACCTTGCCAACGCCTACGTCTATCATAGACGTAATAAGGATGTAATGGAGGAGGGGGGAGTAGGCCGTTGGAGGGAGGTGGAGTTGCAGGAGGAGGGGGATGGGACTTTGGAGGGAGGTGGGAGTTGTAGATGCACAAAGTGCTGTGTGAAATGCAATGAAGGTAAGAGTTCCTTTAACTTCTCACCCTGTCATATTGTTTTTAGGATTATGTTTTTGCCTTGATTGATAGGGCAGCCCTAGATTGACAGGAAAGGTGGGAGACAGAGGGAATGACACGCAGCAGAAAGTCTCAGGTTGGAATTGAACGGGCCGCTGCCAAGGACTCAACCTACATGGGGCACGCATGAAACCAGGTGAGCTAGCTTTAGCTAGCTTCTGCTTCTCCAAACCGGGGATGAATCAACCGACATCTACTGTATGTAATACACTAACTGTGAATAAGTACCTCTTAAAATCCCACTTCAAAAAAATCCTAACTGTCCCTTTAAGGTCTTGAAAGAATTGGGAGGTGTACAGCCAGGCAAAAATAAAATGCCATCAGAGATCCCTGGATTTTATGCGATTCTGGACACTGGATTCGGTTGGTGCAAAACTCTGCTTTGTGTCTGACAGAATACTCTCATCACATCCCTGTGGAATAATATATAGGCTTATTTGGCACACTTGTGGCTGCACAGGGATGCTAGCAGAGAAAAAACAGGAGAGGAAACGGTAAGAAACCCTGTTCCATTTCAACTTTAGAAGGGTTGAGAAAAAGAGATCTCCGTGTAGTTCTCAGCATGAATTTTAAGTTGCATGACGAGAGAAATTTCGTTATTGATATTGCCCACAATACATGAGATGTACCAAACTGCATTTGGTGAACCCCAGAGCAGCATCGACAAATCAACACCAGCCAGCAGTTGTAATTAGGGATGTCCCAAACTGATCCAGACATTTTCCTGATGGATCTGTATCTGCCGTATTAATCTGTCTGTCCAGGTACGCCAGCTGTCACACACACCCAATTAAGCTCTGTTAAAACACTGGAAGTCAACAGCGTTGTGAAGGAGTGACCCGTGGAGCGCACAAATTAAATTAACAGCAGCCAGCAGTTTCAATTAATGATGTGACAGCGTGCGTCGGTAACTGAATCACTGATGTTCCTCTTCTCTAAACTTCCTTAATGCAGCGCGAGACACCTGTCAAATATTTCGACTGCTTCACTGACTTCATGGGGACATCCCTACTGGTGAATGTCTGTGAGCGAAATGCCACTTTGGTTTTAGCAGCATCCAACCAGCCACGGTACGGCCACTTCCTGCTTTAACTTCCTCTCTCCACCCACCTGCAGGCATTTGATGCGGTGGGTTAGCGCGGTGGTGTTGGTGCAGCCCTTGCTGCGTGTGGCGTTGATGTAGCACTTGATGGCGTCGTGCGGCTGGTTGCAGGACTCGTAAAGCGTGCCCAGGTCCATCCAGGCAGCGGCGTGGCTGTGGTCCAGCTGCACGGCGCAGATGTAGGCCTGCAGAGCGTCCATGGGCTGGTTCTGCTGCTGGTACAACACCCTGGGGAGGGAGGAGAGGACATGGGAGAGGAGAGGGAGGCATGGAAGGAGACAAAAGGTGCGGAGAGAAGGAGCAACGTGGAGGGGAGGTGTAAGGGATAATTAAGTGATTGAATCAAGGTTGGATAGATTGAAAAACAGAAGACGGTAAGAATACAGATCACTCCAAAAGTTCAGAAACCTAAAAGGTGACACACATTGAGCCTTACCCTATAGAGCACCAGGTATCTGCACTGGCCTCTGATTTGTCTATGGATTGCCGATAAGAGATGAAGGCGTCCTGGACCTTCCCAATACTAGAGTAGCACCTGCAGGAGAACAGGCTATGAGGGCGGGGCTAAACACATGGGAGACATGTATGCAAACAGACAAAGAGCTTCCTTCTTCACATTATCATTTGAACATGATACTTTTCTAGACTGCACGTGGCTGAGAAGTGCTACTTTGGATCCAAGGACATACAAGACCAAAAAAGGAGAGGACAGACTTGTACTTTACTTTGTGATCAATAAGTTCCAACCACCTTCAGATCATTTTCAAAGCACTGCAAAGCTTAATTACGCCCTCTTCTGATGTCGTGAACGTGTGTGCGACCTACCTGCCAAGGAAGTACCAGGACTGTCCAGAGTTGGGGTCGGCCTCCAGAGATTTCTGCAGACACTGGATGGCATAGCTGTCCCTGCTGGCTCTGTCCCCGAGCTGTTCCACTGTGTGATGCATCCAGCCTGGCGAGTGACACAATAAATCAAGTAATGTTTTCACATCTCTCGGACACAGACAAACTTTTATTCAAAGTTCCTCTTTGCACAGTCTTACCTAGCTGCTGCAGGGTAGTGGCCTTCACCTGTGCAGGAAGATCCTCCGTCTGCAGGAGGCTTTCATAGGCCTCCTTGGCAGCCCGGTATCTCTTCTGGATGTGAGAAGTGGAGAAGTGATGAGAGGGGTGGGGAGAAGAGAGAATAAAACACCAGTTAGAAACGGTGAAGTTTCATTTCTTCAATGTGCAGCACAACAAAACAGGAGCGCCATTGTAACATTCTTGACGGCGCTCCCCACACCTCCAAATTTAGCCCACTTTTGCCTCCAAACGTTTGCTGCTCACCGGCAGCACGCAACCTAAGATGTTCCACTGCAGCGTTGTGTTCTGACACAGCACAAAAAAACCCCGCACATTAGTCGTGAAGCGCTCCCAACGCCAGCAGGAGCTACTGTACTCCTCTACTGAAACCGACATAAAGAGAGAGAGAGAGAAGGAGACCACCAGCATACAAAAGAGGGGGAGACAGACTTTCTTGTTTCCGTGGCAACCCCGTCGATCGACTCAGAGTAATCTCCTATCCCGTCCTGCATGCCACCCACTCACGCACCCTGCTCCCTCCTCAATTTGTCAGCACCTGGTTCAAATACTAAAAAAAAAAAAAAAAAAAAAGCAGGGCTATCCCCTGCGTTCCTGTGATTTCACAGCGCTGGCTCTGTAATGAGCCATCGCCTTGGACATTCAATTCATTCACAAGACTTATTTATCCACAATTACAAATGGCAAACAGACGTCTCGTGTCCTTGGGAGACGGCACAAGTTCAATAAAAGCGAGCACTTACCTGAATCTCATACAAATGAGCAATGTGGAACTGAACTGTAAAAGGAGAGAACAGGAAACATGTTAGACAGAGGTTATTAAGCGTTTAAGAAAAGGTTTCCCATCCCTACACAGAGTTAGTCCTCCTCACAGTCTTTTCAAGTCTTTGAAAAGTAGCGCTGCGTTGTCAATAAATAGGTGTCAGGAAACCCAAGGTTGCCTGTCTACATGAGGTGTAACAGACCAGATAGGTAGCCGTGCTCCTGGCGGCACCTTCCTTTGTCTGGAGCGCTGCAGTGTCTGATCTAAGCTGCCTGAGTGACTCTCAGCAGATGGAGGGAGAGAGAGAGGAGGGGAGGGAGAGAGAGAGACAGAGAGGGAGAGAGAGAGTGGGGAAGAAAGATGGGGGCTGCCCTTGCTATGTCTGTGTGTCTATGTGTGCGTGTGTGTGTGTGTGAGCGAGAGCAGGAATGAGGGGGACACAATGAGGCAAAGGCAAACAGCGAGACGCTTGGCAAAAAAAAGAGGGATATTGCTGTCGCCAAGGTAACAGGTACTGGGGCGGGAGAGATGAGATGGCAGCGGCATATCAAATAATGCCAGCGCTCTACCCAGACTGAACCCCGGCAGCTGAACATAATCTAACAGTCAGTGAACACAATGAGGTGTTTGAGTTTCCCTGCTGCTGTTTTCTTTGTGCGCCGACACGATGCAGACGACTTTTCCACTCTGCGATCAATTGATGTGAGTGGTGCAGTCTGTCTGGATGTTTATACCCCACATAAAAATGCACATATAAACACAGAAAGTCTATACTTTCTGTCATCTACAAGAACAAATAATCAAATTCAAATCCAAAATGAAAAAGAAGGTGCTTACTTTCAGCTTTGGACAAAGTGCAGGGGTTGGAGTCAATCAAAGCCAGCTGAAAATGCTGTGAGAGAACATGAGGAGAAATCAGTACAAGCACACACAGAACAACTGGCATCCGCCATCCATCCATAATACTGCTTTATATATCACTGGTTGCCAGGAGCCATTCAGTCACAGTGGCACTGTCGCAGTGGGAGCCCCATCTTTTACTGTTCTGCTTCACTCACTCGCTGTGTTAAACTAATCTTGAGACATAAAAAAAGCTGCTGATAGTAACTCAACACTTCCTGCATGTGCTTCATCATAAATCTATTAAAAAGTAATATGCCTTTATTGTAAAATTAGCTTGTGAAATGACACTGCTACTCAAACATGGGAAGAAGGCGATGAGATACTTAATAAATGGCCCCGAAAATAAGCAAGTTATTAACATGTTATTAACGTTATTAACTAAGAAGCTTACTCAAAAACAAGCCAAAAAAGTAGAAAATGAAACGAGACAAAAACAAACAAGAATAAATGAAAATAAAAAAACAACCAAACCAAGAAAATTACCTAAAAATAAGCAACATATAGAAGAAAAAAAATCCCCCAAAATAAGCAAAAAAAAAAAAAAAAAAAAAAAAAAAAAAAAAAAAAAAAAAAAAAAAAAAAAAAAAAAAAAAAAAAAAAAAAAAAAAAAAAAAAAAAAAAAAAAAAAAAAAAAAAAAAAAAAAAAAAAAAAAAAAAAAAAAAAAAAAAAAAAAAAAAAAAAAAAAAAAAAAAAAAAAAAAAAAAAAAAAAAAAAAAAAAAAAAAAAAAAAAAAAAAAAAAAAAAAAAAAAAAAAAAAAAAAAAAAAAAAAAAAAAAAAAAAAAAAAAAAAAAAAAAAAAAAAAAAAAAAAAAAAAAAAAAAAAAAAAAAAAAAAAAAAAAAAAAAAAAAAAAAAAAAAAAAAAAAAACACCACAAAAAAGTAAAAGAAAAAAATGAAATGAGTCAAAAACAAACAAGTAAATTACCTGAAAATAAGCAAAAATAAAGAAATAAAATCTAAAAGAAAGACACAAAGGACAAAAAACCCAATAAACTAGAAAATTACCTAAAAATAAGCAACAAATCAGAGAAAAAAATACCCGAAAATAAGCAAAAAAAGAAAAGTAAAAAAGAAAGAAAATTACCTGAAAAAGGGACAAATAAAGTAAAAAAAAAGAATAGAAATAAAAAACAACCAAACCAAGAAAATTACCTAAAAATAAGCAACATATAAAAGAAAAAAATCCCCACAAATAAGCAAAAAAGAAAAGTAAAAAAAAAATACCTGAAAAAAAAGGGATGAAGAAAAGTAAAAAATAAATAAATAAAAATATTAAAAAAATAAACAAACCAAGAAAACTACCTGATAAAAATGTGCTATAAATTAAACTAAATAATATCTGTATTTATTTTCTGTGATATTTTCCTAGTTTTTTTTGATGATTTTCTAGTAACACTTTTCTAATAATGCTCATTTGTTGCCATATTTTAAAGGCTTGTGAAAACCATCTGAATGCAGCACAACATAATGAATGTTTATTCAGGTTTAAAAGGGATAAGTATTATTCTTTTGGATAGTTCGAGAGAAATTTTCACAAATGTTTCTTGTTTTGTTGCATCTTTTCTTGTTCCCAAAGTTAATCGATGACCGTAAGCCTGAAGTGTTTATTAAAGTCCCGGTAAATATTTTAATTTCAACAGCTACTAAATATTTTTTATTTGTTCTGAATTCAGCTCTTTGAATTCAAAATATGACATTTCTTTATTTAAATGTCTTTCAAATGCTTTTTTTTTTTTCCAATGTTCACAAATTTAGATCCAAAAATTCAAGTTTCAATGTTAAAAAAAAAACAAAAAACAAAACACAAACTTTTGATTTTAAAACTGCTTTCTTGGTTCACATGACAGACAGACCAAGAAATCCATTCAATTGCATTCAGGCTCGACTGACTATCCTGTCCTTGGTTGCCCGGATGTTGCCATTTGAAATTTTTCAACTCAAATTTTTTTGATCGAAGTTTGACGAATCATATTGTGCTTATGTTCTATAAATATAATCTTTCAACTTGCACTTTTAAATTTTTATTTGAACATTTGACTATGAGCACCCTGAATCTTTTCTTCTGGAAACTCTGAAACTTCAATTTTTGAGTGTAAAACTGTGAACATTGAAAAATATACTTTCAAATGCAGCTTTTCGAGAACTTCCATATTAAATTCAAAGAGGTGAATTCTGCTATTTTGCTAAAAAACTTTCAAATGTCACTCTCACACCTGGTCCCTACCAGCGTGCGGTGCAATTTTATATGACCATGCGCTAGCTCAGGGGTTACCAATCTATTGTGTCTACATTCGCTCACTAACATTACCAACATGTCTAAATGAGGCTTCATAAATATGTTTTACCATAATATGGCTACTCTGCTTTGCAGCAATGGCGGTGAAAGCAAACAAATCTATACACGTACTATTGAAATTTTTACTTTTTCCCCCTTTTTCTAGCTTGAAATCCATAGCTAGCCTAGCTCGACTCAAGACTAGCCATTGCTATCGAGGTTCAGCAAAGTTTAGGGCTTAAGACGCCAGGCCGTAAACGTATGACACACGAATTTATACAATTGGAAAATCTAAGAATCACTTTAGGACTACTACAATGCTCAAGGAAGGTGTTTAATGTTACTAATTTCCATATAATTGTGCTTCTGTAAGCTTTGGGTGGACATACCTTTAGGCTTGACTCATAGTCTGTGTTGACCTTGAACATGAGACCCAGGCGTAGGTGGATCTCTTTGGCCCGGGAGAACCCTGGGTCAATGTACAGCACCTCCTGGAATGCTTTAATCGCCCTGTAGGACCAACGAGAGCATGATGAGTAAAGACTACGACAATATGATGGAAGGATAAGATAAATAAGAATTGCCATGCATCTGAAAGGAAACTGTCTTTATTAGTTCTGGGCTGAAGGAGCTGAACAACAGGTGTGAGCACGACCCAAGATGCAGCACATTCTGTCGGTCAAACAGTCAGCGCTCATTCAAGTCACGCTGCATGTGTGCTATCTCCAACTGAATACTAAAGATGTTCCTTCCACAGTAACTGAGAACATGCCCCATTTGTTATGTACTTTCTTTCTGCTGTTCTTGCTTCACAATCAGACAGCGCTGAATAAACCAATACTGCAGCACACAGTCAAACAACACAAGCTGTATTTGCTTCATTGTGGTGCTGTGAGGAACGCTGCAGGCGAGCAGGACGTCCTTGGCCTCTTCAGAATAATGCATTTGCCTCTTGAAAACTATTTCTGACTGTATGATGCTTGTGTCTTGACGCTTTTCAATCTGTCAAGAGATCTGAGCTAGTCTGGTTGTGGCGTTACCATGGAAACAACACAGGACAGCTTCACACGCAGCTGGTAACAACAAACACATGAACATATACAAACTGTAACTGAGCTGTGTGATCCTGTGCTGAAGTTGTGTGTGGCATCAACAACAGGTTACGTCTCCTCCGATTCCAAGTGGAAACGTGTGGCGTGAATTTACATGTCTCATGGAATCTATGTTGGTTGCCTGGCAACTGCCCTGTAAAACCACATTACACACTATATAGACCGAAGCCCTGATGATACACCAATGACAACAGGCACTTCCAACTGGTGATTGTTTGGAATTGCAGAGATGGGTGAAAATTGGCAAACTTGGTGGTTCTGCTGTGCTATTTACATTGCAGCATTTCAGGTGGTGTCTGTACCGCTAAAAATTGGGCTACCCTTCGTTGCATTTCCATCAGTGTTTCCACAGGATATTGTGCACTAAAATGGGGGGTTTTTAGCTGCGCATCTTGGCGTTTGTGCCACCAAAACTGTGATTTTCTTGGCAACAGGCTGCTGCATTTTCAGCCTTGTAGTGCTACCAACATGGGTTGTTTTCCAGCAGCTAATTGAAACAGTTCCAGCAGTGTTTGTACCACCAAATTGGGGTGATGCTTTTGGGAACACATTGCCCTATCTTCATGAAACTCAAGCAAGTCCAGTTGCCTGTGATATAGCACTATGAAAAATCCTGCTGCATTTCCTGTGCTGTTTTCAGCAGCTATTGTTCGACCAAAACGGAGTGTTTTTAAGCAACACATTGCAGCATTTCCTGGGGCAATCGTGCAGGTATTTTAAGCCAAAAACACAATGTTTTCTGAACTGTAACCAAGTGTTTTTTGTGCCTAATCATAATCATATTGAAGTGTTTCAACATATCCACTGCATATTAGTACTGCTCCACTCTTTGTTCTTAACAGGCACCCCCAAACATACCAAGACTAAATCATGCAGAGGTTTTCTACCGAGAAGTGACTGTAAACAAACATTTTGATTGAGTCTATAACGTGCTGTCGGGTTGCAGAGGTATACCAGTTTCAAGATACACAATGATATGAGCGTTGATGGTTATAATACTATGTACATTTGAAGCTGTTTCCAATCTTTATGCTAAGCTAAGATAAGCTAAGCTAACTGGCAGCTGGCCTCAGCTACATATTTACCAAACAGACCTTATTTAAAATAATGACTGTGGAATTGTTTCGCAGAAAGTCACAATGTTTTGAAGACAAGACGATATTTCCACAATTAAAGTACAACAGACTCATTATAGCAGTGGTTCCCAACTGGTGGGTCATGGTCCAAAAGTGGGGCCCAGGTCCAATCTGAATGGGCCGCAAGTGTTTTGCAAACATGTCAAGTTTGTAAAAAACACACTTTTTTCTTTCCTGCTAGCAACGGACAGCTGCTTGACAGAGACGGCAAACTATCTTAACAACATGACGCTGAATTTATTAAACTGCATGGACCTTAAACTAACGACTAAAGAGAAATCTGGACCAGTTGGGAACCACAACATTAGGGTGTACAGTTTCTGTGCAAATGGCATAAAGGTAGTTTGTACTCACCACTGAAAGGCATTATAGTGGAAGTAG